AACGTGTATCTGCTCTACGAACCAGGGTACGTCATATCTTGTTTCTGCAACCTTATGGGAAAGAAAATCTGTGTAAGAACATTTGATTTGCCACTGGTGTATGGGTACTTGAAGTATGCTGAAAATACTACTACTAAATATACTACTAAATTTCTAATTATGACGTAACCATTTACGTCAGGCCGCGCCATAGCTCAAGCAGTTAGTCTCTGGCTTCCCACCGCAACGGCCAGGGTTCGATCCCGGTTCTGGTCGAGTGGGATTTGTGGCGGACAAAGTGGCGCTCGGGCGGGTTTTCTCGGAGTACTTCGGTTTCACCTGTCAATCTTCATTCCACCAAATTCTCTCTCATCATAATCACCCGGGGTAGGCTACAAGAGGCCAAATAATTATTCACAAGCACATGTAATTCCTAAAGACCTCATAATTCGTTGGGCATAACCACTAAATACTGAAAATTTATCAGAAAGCAAACAGAGATTATAAAAATCATGGAGTCGAACATGCGATAAATATACATCACACTGCAAATCCTTCATCTACACTTGAAATTCCGCCGGAACAGTTTCAGCATTAACGTCAAACGGGAAGCTAAAAATAATAGTTGAATGTGGCCTCATATTTGCGTACATCTTGAAAACCTTAGTTGAATTCTCGTTAAAGAATTCTAATTCCTTCTGGGCTGGTTCTTAGTGCTAGTGGGGTTTTCTGTCCTCAGACTTGAAAGAAGTGTGGTATATACTTTGTTCGAAGCTACATATACCACAATCGAAGCTTCCTGCAGAATATATTATTTTATTGAACAGTTATTGACAAGGTAATTCACTCATTGTGGGTCAACGTTAAGTCCATTCATGTGTTGGAATAATGTCAATACAGAAAGCGAAATCGAACATTCAGTCGTGATCACAAAGATTAGAGAAAGTTTTCCCTTTCATTTCCAGAAAGAATTCGATTCGAGACTTGAAGTCATACACGCGTTTAGGCACCTAACCACAACACAAGGACCGAACTTCCGTATAGCGGAGAACATCTCTGTTTCTAGATCCTACATCACCCAAGAAATCTTTAAATTGTCAAAGAAATGAAATGACACGCGGCAGCGTAGTTAGTTGAGGCACTGTGCTGCAAGCCGGAAGGTCAGGGGTTCGATTCCCGATGAGGTGGATTTTTTCAATTTTCCAGCCCTGGGGTCGACTCAGCCTCTAACAGAAACGAGTACTAGAAATATTCCTGGGGNGTAAAGGGCGTTCGGCTCGTAAGGCTGACAACCTTACCGCCATCTGGAACCGATTGTCTAGCTAATGTGGGAGCCTCAAAGTCTCTCAACCCTATTGGCCTCCATGGTCTGTTACAGGGATAGCTTTCCCTTTTTACCTTTTTACCTTTATGAAGTGAAATGAACGTCTCTAGAAACCACTGTAAAAATATTCATTTTGAGAGATTTTGCACATAGATCAGCTGCTTATGCTGTGAAAGTCATTTGATGAAATTACACTTCTATTTATTCTTACAGTCAAGCTATGACAGAATATCAGATGACGATCCGTTGTGTTCTCCACGTCGCTGATCATCAGAAAATACACGCCACTGCTTCTTCCTGCCAAACTTAGCGCTCAATTCCCCACTACTCAAGCTCGTTCCTGTTCTCCAGAACTTTCCTGACTTCTTCATATAAATTTGCGCCTGTAGTTTTGCCTATCATTGGCATTAAGGCAGCAGATTCCTCGGCTATATCGAACTCCACGTCAATTCCAAAAATGGGAACAGAAATTTGCTTTGTGTTACTTTAAGTCAGTGTTTTGGGAACCCATATCTATACAAGCCACTGAAAATCATCAGCTCTCATCTATAAGCTACCTTCAATTTTGTCTCAGTTCATCGATTCTTCTTCCGAAGATGAATCTTGATAAACCACATAGATATTGGGTTTTCGGACTTTATCCATCGTCCTGGTTTTTAAGATAACTAAGAAAAACACGACGTTTCGGAAACTGGCTCTGTTTCCGTCCTCAGGTGAGGGAAAACGCCTATTCTGTTGGGTCCCTTAGAAAGAGCTAGCCTCAATCCAATCCTCATCTGAGGACGGAAACAGATCCAGTTTCCGAAACGTCGTGTTTTTCTTAGTTATCTTAAAAACCAGGACGATGGATAAAGTCCGAAAATCCAATATCTCTGTGTATTATACACCATCGTCAGAATCCTATAGTAACTACTTGATAAACCAATTTAAAAATGATGTGCGTCTGTGTGCCTTTTTTGTCAGGAGACATATACAGCTGCTTCTAAGCGTCATTTTATTATTCCTCCCTCCATTAATAAGGTTTCGTCCTTATTTTCTTTACTGAAGCCATACATGGACTCGACAATTTATAGAAAAAGAGAATAACGTCAGCACACTCGGATATTGCTCGCCACTAATACTACGAGCTTTTCAGTTCGTTTCATTTGCTGTTTATTTGTGATGTGTAAATTATAGCTTTACTGCTGAACAGAAAAGTCGTTTACCGATAACCAACTGCGAGTATGAAACGACCAAATCACTTTCACTATTCTGTCCAGTTGCACTTGCTGTTTTCCTTATTTTTCTGCGTGAAAATGTACAGGTATTCTGGTCTGTTAAATTGGAAGCTGTCCTAACAAAATGTTCACAATGATAAACGTTGCTATATAATTGGCCAAATTCGAATTAGAAATGTAAAACATACGTTTAAAATAACATCGTGACAACTGGAAAATATGCGGTCTCTCAAAGTAGAAATCTCGTGAATCCGAAAAATATTATCTCACTTCGAGCAAGGAAAACGGAGAACAATTCTAGCAGACGAAAGTGGCCGAGTTCACATACAGCAAACCACGAAAACTGTGCACCATAATTGTTAAAATAAGCATTGCTGGGCTACCTGATCTTATTACAATAATGGCATTGTAAGTGTTGTGAAATCTTGACAATACTACATCTATTCCAGAACGATATCTGACAATTGTATTGAATTGTAAATGTAAATTTTTCTAACCAAAATAGGGTGTATATATATTTATTGTTTGCATTCTGTTATGTACTGTTATATAGTGTTATTATACAGCCGTCAGCACATCAAATTTATAATAAATAAATCATTTTGATATATTAATATTTATTTGTACATTTGTCACATGCTTCGATCCAGTTGGATCTTCATCAGGCAAATATTCATGAAATGTACATTCGTGTTGAATTGTATATGTGGATATATTCCTTTAAAACATTTTGGCAATATTATTTTCAACTTAATATTTTTTGTTTCTTGTTAATGGAATTCATTTGGGGAACGCACCGGTGAGTCTGGGCGAGGCATGTGGCTCGCGGGCCGCAACATTTCGCATCACTGCTCTACAATGTCGCTTCCAAATATGGAACTAATTCTTTTGGCCGAAAAAGTAAAACAAATGCGATGGGACCGGCTGATATCGGGTTTATCCTACTTCTTAGATAGATCGAGGCACAGATCTGAATGCTTAACACGACTTCACGGATTTTTTCACCACATATTATTAGAATAAAAATATTATCACTTGTATCCTGGTAAATCTACAGTAATTAACGGTTCCGAATTGTTGTATCTATGACACACAAACAATTATAACACTCTCAAGGTTAACACATCAACTACTGAACTGCCTTGAATGATGTCATCCTGATGAATCCTCTCGAACAGTTTTCACTGCTTCCTATATAGGTTTGGCACGGACCACACACAGAAAACACATCAACTGCTCAGAAACGGATATCACATATTGTTATTAGACGTGTTCACCCATGCATTGCCTATCAATGTACATCTTACTGTTGCGTATTTATTGATGTGCTATGTGTTTACCGGTCTGTGACCTAGCAATAGATCAGCAAGAAGCCAGCGAGTTCTTGCTTGGCTTTCTCGTCGGCGCTGCAGATGGGGGCAATACATTCTTTCGATACGTCGGTGGATTTCTACCGAACTATATTGAGTTACAACCCAGAGGATATTGCTCTTTACTATCTATTTACTTATTTTACAGACCTCCATTTTGTTGTTTTGCATTCAACGATGATATCAAAATGGATCGTAGATAAGTATCGTGTGAAGATCTGTCTATGAATCCGAGCCAAAACAGAGACCCAATAATAGAATTTTGTGAGCACAGTCGATGTTCTGCTTTCTTAAAGGCAGTGAAAGTTCTTGCTCATCTGAGTACCTACAAACTTTTCTAGGAAACCTTGTATCTAGGAATCAACTGAAAGATGTCGTTAAATAAACAGCATATGGACAGTCTTCGTAAGTAAGAGTTTAGTACATAGTCATTATTTTAATTACTTCTTTATGTTGTCACACATACCTCAAAAACATTAAAATAAAAAGTGGTCGGTGAAGGTGAACGCACCTGCTGGCCCTGTAACACTATACGCGTTATGTTTATTAACCATCTTGAAAAACCTCTCTTCAATTATTTGTATTTTGGTATGTATAACTGCGAGATAAATTAAAGAAACAGGCAGCTGTGTTCGAATGTATGCTTTTGTCATCAGATAGAGTAAAGCATATGCATTTTACAGCGTTATAAAGACATAAACATTTTGCTTGAAGGCACGTGTGTAATACAACTCACTGTAGGTTATTCGAAACAAGTCTTTCAGATGTTAGTTTCCACTTTTCAGTAAAATGCACCAAATAAACCGTTTTAGTTATTTATTCCTGTTAGTCGTCTCACATGCAATTTGTTTCTTAAAACTTTTAAAATTTTAAAATTTAAAATCTCTCCTACATCAATGGTGTATGCACACTACATGTTTCGACGAATATTAATCATCTTCAGGTGTCACTAAAGTTGCTGACGAAAATGCTGTGCTTCCTTCCGTAAATTCAGTTTTTGGGATATGACTTCGTCTATGCGCCCATATGTCTCTACCATGTGTTAGTATGGTGTATTATTATTCCGTATGTAACATGTGTTTCCCACGGTACACATATACGTGTACTTACCCAATTCTGATGGGCAGCTCCTCCGATTTGGTAGTGTGTAGCTCTTGTGAATGTTGCTAAGCTGGGTTGGTTCTGTTTTATGTAAGGCGTGTGTGCTGCTATCTAGTGTTTAATTCTTGTGATGCTTCGAATATTGGGCTATAAATGTCAATATATGCGTCATTCATGTGTAGTCTGTCTTCATTAATTTTACATGTGTGGTATTTTTTTAAAGTACTTAGGCGTTTTCCTTTTTCTTTGTGTTTATGACGTCCTGTGCTCAGTACATGTTTCGAATATCCTGAATTATCGTTATTATTCATAATTGCTTGTGTATGCTTTTTATATCTATCGTAAAATGTTCGGCCGGTTTGCCCTATGTATTTTAGTGGGCAATGGATGCATTTTATTTGGTAAATGTCACTTTGTTCCTTATCTGTATATTTGTGAATGGGGGTTTACTTTGTTTTGTACTGTGTTTCGTTTTAGGAATGCTACTTTCATTTGTGTTTCTTTAAAGAATTTTGTAATTTTCTTTGTTTCTTTACCGCTGTGTACGAAAGTGGCCCATTTGGTTTTCTGTTGTTCTGGGTCAGTGTTTTTGTTATGTGTGTGTTGGTTGGGATGTCTCTTGCATAGGTTAATATTATCTTCATTGTTATGTAATGTGTCCTTTGTGATGTTTCGTTTCTTTTTCTTTGCGTCTTACGATATTGGGTATGTGTGCACTCTGTTCATTAGATAGTTAATCTTCGATACCTTAAGTTCATATGGGTGACAGGAGTAATTCAGCATCATGATATCTGTTTGTGTAATTTTTCTATACATCGCGAATGCTAGCTTTGTTTTCTTATGATGTTTTGTAAGATCCAGGAAATCAATGGATTTATGTTGTACTTTTTCGATGGTGAATTAGTTATTAATCATATAACTACAGTTAAATAATTTGATACGGTAATGTAGACTACATTTTCAAAAAATGAGTTTCCTGATTGTGAGGGAGTGACAACTGGACCTAAGACAAATCTAAGTATTTACATGCTCTCACAAATACAAACACAATTTATCTCTCTGTATAATACAGAGTTTACACAGTAATGTAATGGTGCTGCGTGAGAGTGGAACCTGCAAGTGCGCACACGCTCTCTTCAGGCAGCACTAATTGTACAGTGAGATGAATCTGACAATAAAAGTATCACTATGTTTAGCTTTCGTCATTTTTACCAAAAAATGTCCCTTCCGAACAGTATTTTGAAACCCTATTTTTCGTGTTGGATATTATGTTTTTATTACGACAGTATGAAGCAAAACCGCTGTTTTAATATATACCGTTCCCTCCTGTTTCGGCTGTAGTAACCATCTTAAGTAGATCTTACTCACAATATATGATATTATACTTACAATTTATAAAATGAATAGAGCTGTAAAATTCTAGTAAGGTGAATTGATTTTTGGGTTATTTAATGATGATTTATCAAATACACAGTTCATAAGTTAATATTTTTATGTTAGGGAACCATGTAAAAGGAATACCAGATTTCCATGACACTTGGATTCGAATTATTCAATGAGAATAAATTAAACTGAGGACAATTTTGCAACATACATTAACAATTTCACAACAGAATTTGTACGTAAACACTAATTAAAATCCTTTAAAATTTATTATTGACAACAATGTTATCACCTACGCTCTACAACTTATGCGTAGGCTGATAGCATTGTTGTGGTCGTGATTTATTTTAAGGTACAATCCTGACTGACGATAGCAATACAGCACCACAGTGAGAACAGCCTATCCCGTGCTAGGGATTCGAATTCGGAATCTCCAGAATGGCGATATCCTACGATTACGATGGGCTGGAAACGTAGTTCCGATGAGGAGGTAATACATTCGTCCAGAATTTGATGAGGGAATCTCTTGTAAAGCTGCCAGTTTTGAAAGCGAGAATTATATGAGAAAATAATACCAAGACGGAACCAGCTCAGGGCCCTATCCTGTGCCAGACTCCAGTATTAACTGGAGACGAATCCTACCACTGGGTGTGATGGACGATCATTTCAAAAGCATATTGTAGCACACATATAAGTTTCGAGTTGTTTCGAGAAAATGAAATGGATTCATTTCAGATTACGCTGGGGAGAGTTTTGGAACCCCTGCGAGTGAATATCCATTGTATCGGGAGAAGCAACTGGACAGGGCAGATGTTGTTCGTACTAAGCATGCGGGCGAGTACAGAGTGCATGGACAACGTGCATGACCTGATCCACTATCAGGTCAATGTTGTGACGGTGTCCCACACACTCGTGACTCCCAAGACATTAATAATGTGGTAAGGGATCAACAGGGGGCTTCAGCTGCACCTCGTCCAAAGCCGATCTGTTCTAATGGTCTCAGTTGGTACTAGGCACACGATTTGGTAGGGAGAAGGAGTTGTGCAGTGCCACTGAAACTGTCAGGGTTTTCTTAATTGTTAGAAGATAAAGGATATACAGATATTTAAGCAAGATGATTAAAATCTGGTCATATAAAATTCTGAATAATCTGATACTGAGATATTGGGTAAAAGTAAGTAAAGGTTTCCCAGTGACAGGCCGTGGAACTCCATGGGGTTGTGTGATGTTGAGGCTCCCATATTTTCTAGACAATCGGCTCACAGATGGCGGTGAGGTTGCCAACCTTACGCGCCGGCCGCCCTTTACCCCGCAGGAATATTCCTGGTACTCATTTCTGTCAGAGGCTGAGTCGAACCCAGTGCTGCTGGAAGGATTAGACCAATTGAAAAAATCTACCCATCGAGATATTGGGTATCTATGATAAACTTGTTCTATCCGATGATGATAACAATGGTGATGGTGGTGATGGCGATATTGAAGACGATGATTATCTATAATGTACCTACACTGTGGCATGAAATACCTGTGATGAAGTAATGCAATATATTTATATATATGGCAAGGCTAAATGATAAGGGCAGAATGCCGATTGTTGGAACGTTCCGAAAATGTTTCCACATCGTATTTTAACAATTTTTATTTCATAAAATTCAAAATTGGCAACAAAAGATATACCATGCTGTTAGATAGAAGACAGACTGTTATTAATTAACAATTCCTTTGTCATGAGTAGAACCATGGAACAAAAATATAATTACAATGCTTGATATGTTAGTTTTGGATAGGGGTGGATGGATAGATAGATAGATAGATAGACAGACAGATAGATAGATAGATAAATAGATAGACAGATAGATATACAGGTAGATAGATAGACAAATAGATAGATAGATAGACAGATAGATAGATAGACAAATAGATAGACAGATAGATATACAGGTAGATAGATAGACAAATAGATAGATAGATAGATAGATAGATAGATAGATAGATAGACAAATAGATAGACAGATAGATATACAGGTAGATAGATAGACAAATAGATAGATAGATAGATAGATAGATAGATAGATAGATAGACAAATAGATAGACAGATAGATATACAGGTAGATAGATAGACAAATAGATAGATAGATAGATAGATAGATAGATAGAAAGATAGACACACAGACAGACAAATAGACAGACAGATAGGCAGCTAGATACAAACGTACATACATACATACACGTAGAATGAGCGTGGACTTCACAATTTTATATGATTGGATCCCGTTTGTATATATAGTTGAAGGTTTGAGATTAGCCTCATGCAAGCTTATGTTAAAATGCTGTCTGAAACCACAAGGAATGTCAGTTGGAAGACTTAGATATACTCATAGATGAGATTACTTACGATGGAATTTGCAGAAATAGACTGTGAAAGGATGGATTGTGTCGAGCTACCTGAAAACAGGGCCCATAACATGGTTTTGTGAAAACAGTAACGAACCTCTGGATTCCACAAAGATGAAGATGTCATGACAATGTGAGTAAGCTAAACATAATTTGTTTTAAAGGTGTCCCTGTACCGTGCCGTTAGTTTGTCAAGTAGTCGAATGTTATACAGTTTTCTAGGAGGTGAATTCCGATATTGAGAACTGTGGGTATACTTTTCCCTTATTTCTGATACGTTATTAGGTTATAAGAACAGCTTCTTGAAAGAGGGGAAAAGTCGAAATTTCTTAAAGGGCCAGGAGCTCTGTGTGGCTTAGGAATTAGTGTGTTCTCTGTTGACAATGATCTTCAAACACGAGATGTGTACGTAAACAAAGAAGTGACGTTACAGAAATATTTGAAGCACTAAGTGAGAAAAGTTCTTCCCTTATAATAAACACGTACACACAAACGTACACAAAATTAAAAATTTAAGTCACACTCACAAGTCTTAAGTAGTCTGCGTTATGGGCCTGAATGTAAATAGAATTATATTGAATATTTTAATAAGGAGAACATGTTCCGTATTTAACTAAGAGACTGTTACCACTGAGCAAAGTGAGGTAATAACTTACCGAATTTATAGTCAGATTTCCACGAACCAGCTTAAGAATATCACGCCAATGACGTGCTTTAAATTATGAAGAATGCCGTCTTCTGGGATATGGCGCCGTGTAGATATTGTATAAACTGATGTTTCGGAGGAACATATCGCCTCCATCTTCAAGTTAGAAGAATAAATCCGCGAGCGAGGAACCAGCGTCAGCAGGTGGCTGCAGCCTGAGCGATACGTTCCTCCGAAACGTCGGTTTACACAATATTTACACGGCGCCACATCCCAGACGATGGCATTCTTCATAGTCACCGCCGTGAAAACCTCAAATCTTATATCGTGTTTTAAATTTCCCACAAGCAACATCAGCTCTGCGACTGCGCGAACTTTTTAGGTGGGAGCAATGAAAATAAGATTTCTTGTTAAATTCTAAATGTATTTAGAGTGATAGATGTTTGAAAATTATATGATGGTTAATACAGAATTGATGACAGTGTGAAATATATATTCAATTTTGTGCTTAACTGCATTTAACGACGAGCAGAAGCTACGGAAGAAATAGATAAGAATATGTCTGTCTCCGTCTCTACAGTCCTTTGTTGTGGGTTGGCCACTTTTTCAGCTTCTTTATCTTTTACATAGTCGGTAGGAATCCTTGGACGGGAGATCAGCCCGTCGTAAGGCCGCTACCTGCACACAGA